GCAGGTCGAGACCTGCGCTGCGACCAGGCCCAGATGCACCCAGCCGAGGCGACCGCCCCCGCGAAGAAGGCGAGGAGCGAGGCGAGGAACACCACGCTCCCTGGGTGGCCGGAGCACTCCGGCAGGGGGCACGGCGCCGGCACCGTGAGGTTCGCCGGCCCGCACCGCTGGAGCTGCCCCTCGAGCAGCCTGATCAGGTCCTTGTCGGACGAGCAGACCTCGCCGAGGTCCACGTGGCAGGTGCAGTGCTGGCCGTACCAGGCGGCGCCGAGATGTGCGAGGCCGCCCACCGCGCCGGCGGCGCGACTCGCCCACTCCATGGGGGGGCGAACTCCCGACTCGCTGGACTGAATATGATCCATAATGTTTACGGATCCACAAAATGCACAAGCCAACCCGATCGACGATCTCCAAGGGCTGTCTTGGAGGCCTCGCGGGCCGTTTTGGATGCTCTGAAAACTCCAGAAACGAACATCCACCCAAAAAGGTTGTCCGAAGTAATGGGGCCATTTTTGCGTCTTGAGGCCCTGTTGAGTCCTTGGGGGCCTCTTGGGGCGTCTTTGGGGCGTCCCGGGCCCTCTTGAAGTCATATTGGGGCGATATTCCGGAGACCTCGGGCCACGTGGGAGAAATTTGAAGCCTGCTGCGCGTATCTAGGACGGCCACGGACCGCCCAAGGAAAAGGCCAGAGGCCGGGTACTCAAATCAGGTTTTCCCGTGCCCCTCCCAAGGTCCTTTTTTTCCACACACACACACATATATATACACACATACATACATACATACATACATACATCCATACATACATACATATATACACACATTTATACATCAATATACATTCATACACATGTGTGAATATATGTGTGTATATACACATGTACATATATATATATATATATATATATATATGTGTGTGTGTGTGTGGAAAAAGAAAGATATAGATAGACAGACAAAGACAAATCGAAATATAAATAGAAATAAAGAAAGATATGGAAAGACATATATATATATACCATATATATATACGTATATATATATATACGTGAAATGAGAAACTATAACAGAGAAATAGATATTATACTATATAATATATATTATAGAAGGACATATATATGGATATATATATATAGAGAGAGAGAGAGAGAAAGAGAGAGAGAGAGAGAGAGAGAAAAAGAGAGAGAGAGAGAACAATAGAGAAAAATAAAGAGAAAGAGAGAGAAAGAGAGAGCAAGAAAGAGAGACATATAAAAATAGAGAGAGAGAGAGAAAGAGAGAGAGAAAGAGAGAGAGGGAGAGAGAGAACAAAAAAAGAGAGAGAGAGAGAGAGAGAGAAAGAGAACTAAACAGAGATATAGAGAGAGAGAGAGAGAGAGAGAGAGAGAGAGAGAGAGAGAGAAAACAAAAAATATAAATAGAGAGAGAGAGAGAGAGATACGCACATCAACGCAGTGCCTGCGCTGCTTGAAGCTCTTTTGAAGCCATCTTGGGGCCCTCTTGAGCCGTCTCGGGCCGATTGGGTGGGCCATTGGGCCCGTCGTGGCAGGTGTTAAGACTGAAAAGCGAATCTCATGAAAAAGATGCGCTTGCCCAGCCGGGAAGCTTGATTTCTGCCATTGGGAAGCCCTCTCGGCGGCCTCTTGGACCGTCTTGTGGCCGTCTCGAGGCCATCTCACTGCGCTCTTCAGCCATCTTCCAGGCAAGCCGGGGCGCTTCGGGAACCTCTTGGGGCAGCTTGGGGGCCTGGGGTGTCCAGAGCCCCTTTGGGGTCCTCTTGGAACCCTCGAGGCCCCCCATGGGCCCCCGCGCAAACCGGGCGCCCTCGCTCTGGGCACATGCGCGCTGGAACCATCGCGCGCGCTTCGCGCGCGCTCAGGTTCAGACCCCAGGCCTTGACAAATTCACTGCTACGCTGAAGTAGTGGACCGCAGTCCACGCGCGCCAATCTGCATTCCGAACGGCGCCCGCTGGAGGGCCGTTTCCCGTCCTGGATCGGCCTCCGACGGGCCCCGGCGGACTGGAACCAAACGGCCCCCTGGGGCCGAAACCCAAGGTCCCAAGAAGACGGTCTACCGCCCGCCAAGGCCGCCTTTGCACTGCTGTGGGCCGCGCTTGCAACTTCGGCGCAGGGCAGCGGGGCTCGCGGAAGGGAGGAGGGAGGAAGGGGGCGGAACGGGGAGGGGGGGGAGGGGCGGGAGGGGGGGAGGGAGGGAGGGGAGGGAAAGAGGGAGGGAGGTGGAACGGGAGGGGAGGAAGGGAGGCGAGGAAGGGAGGGGAGGAAGGGAGGAAGGGGAGAGAGAACGGGGGCGTGGAGGAGGAGGATGGAGGAGGGGGAGTGGGGGGGGAAGAGGAGGGAAGGTACGGAGGGGGGGAGAAGGCGGATCCCGGATTTTGGATGTGCTTCCGGCGCCGACGTTCACCGCGAGATGCAACGACTCATGCCGCTCACGCTTGCACCGAGCTGGCCCGAACCCGCCGACCCCTTGAGGGTGTCTTAGCGTATCAGAATATTCCCATCCATAAGCCCCCGATGGGTTTGGCCTATTGGGGGGATCTCTTGGGGGCCTCTTGGAGCCTCTTTGGGGCCTCCTGGGACCTTCTTGGGGCGGAAGGGTATGATTTTCGGTTTGGGCTCCCCCTCTTGGGCTCCTCTTGGAGCCGCCCTGGAGCTCTCCTAGGTCGTATTGGGGACTTCTTGGGGTGTCTTGGCCCCCTCTCGGGACGTCTTTGGAGCCTCTTGGGCCGTTATGGGACTCTCTTGGGGGCCTCTTGTACCGTCGTCACCGCTGTGAAGACCGACAAGTCGTATATTCTAAGAATATACGTTTGTTCTTATGCATAATCAATGATTCTGGCCTTTTGGGGCCCTCTTGGAAAGCCTCTTGGGGGCCTCTTGGGGCGTCTTCGCGGTCTCTTTGGCTCTGTGAGAACCGTCATGGGCGTCCATTTGGCTAGCTTTGAGCGCTCTGGGGCCACCATGGAACGTTTTGGGAGCCTCATGGGGCCCTCTGGCCACGCCTTGGTCGCCCCTCGGGCTGTCTCGGGCAGTGTTGGTAGCCTCTTGGGGCCGTCTTTGGGGCCTCTTGTACCGTCGTGCACGCCGTGAAGACCGAAAAGTCGTAGATGCCAAAAATGCACGCTTACCAATATAACATCAATGATTTTGGCCGCTTGGGGCTCCCTTGGAAAGCTTCTTGGGGCGTCGTAGCGGCCTCTTGGGCTCTATGGGGGCCATCTTGGGTGTCAAGGGGCGATCATTGAAAGCCCCGGGGCCGTTTTGGACCGATTTGCCTCTTGGGGCTCCGTGGACACGACTTGGCCGCCTCTGGAGCACGCCTTGGCCGCCTCCGGGCTGTCTTGGGCTCCTCCTGGGCCGTGTTGGGAGCCTCTTGGGCCGTCTTGGAGCCGTCGTGGGGGCCTCTTGTACCCTCGTGCACGCCGTGAAGACCGAAAAGACGTACATGCTGAAAAGGCACGTACTCCTATGCAAAATCAATGGGGCCATCTTGAGCGTCCAGGGGCGATCTTTGAGCGCCCCGGTGCCGTCTGGGACCGGTTTGGGGGCCACTTGCGCCTCCCTGGGCACGTCTTGGCCGCCTCCTGGCCCGGACAGGAGCGCTCCCGGAGCCCCGGAGCGGCCCCCCATGCCTGGCGGCACCGATCCCCTTCCGCCGGCATATATATATATATATATATATATATATATATATACTCATATATATATATATACTCCAACTAGGCCTGCCCTATATGAGTCCTAGCTCATCATAAGTAATTGGTCTTTAGCGCCCCCCCTCCCTTTTTCCATTGGCCCCCCACTTATTTCCAATGGCACCCCCCTCCCCCCCTCCTTTTCAAATGCCCCCCCCCACCCCCCCTGTTTCCAATGGCACACCCCAGCTATTGCCAGTGGCGCGTCCTATGGATTCCTAATCATTCCTATTCTTGCTTGCTCTTGCGTGCTTGCTCTCGCTTGCTTGCTCTTGCTTGCCCTTGCTTGCTTGCACTTGATCGCTCGCTATTGCTTGCTTGTTGTTGCTCGCTCGCGTTTGCTTGCTTCCGCTTGCTTGCTCGCGTTTGATTTTGCTCCTCCTCACGTCCTGCTCCCGTCCTCCTTTCGTCCTCCTCCCATCCTCCTCTCGTCCTCCTCCTGTCCTCCTATCTATTTGGAGTCAACGCTGGCTGATCTATATATATATATATATATATCAACAATGACCGACCACAACGATGTTTAAAACGCGCTGGCGTTTATAACGAACAACGCGTTTCACCCAACCGTTGTACAACGAACGTTTAAAACGAAACCGGCCCAAACGAGAACGAACAAAGAACCGAAATCACCGATTGTAAAGAAAACAAAACGAAAAGCGAAACGGAATTCGCAGACCGCGCTGGAAACATAACGAAAAACGAAACGAAAACATGGGACGACAGCTGGGGCCAGGGTGAGGTTAGGGCCGGGGCTTGAACCAGACAAAGCGACAACACAGAACACACGAAAAAACAAAACGAAAAACGAACCAAAGCTGCGGCGAGGGCTACAGGGCCGGGGCAAGGGGCGAGGTCCCGTTTGAGGCGCGCGCGAAAACAAACGAAAAACAAAACGAACAATGAACTCGGGCTGCGGCGACGGCTAGGGCCTGTGGGTCCAGCGAACGTAGGAGCTCTGGGTTGGGCTTGAGCAAATCAAAACGAAAAACTAACTCGGCCTGCGGCTACGGCTGAGGGCTGGGCTAAAGCGGGGAGGGGCTGGGTTAACGAAACGAGTGCAAAAAATACCGTTTAACATTCAAACGCGTTTAAATCAAAAACGAGCAACACAACGGATCAACAACGAAAACGAAAACGAAAAACAACACGAAGGCAAAAACCAAGCTAAACAGCGTTATGGTCGGTCCTTGTATATAAATACCTCCCCTCCCACTCTCATGCCATCACCGTGCCCCCCTCCAATTTGCTCCGCTGCTGGTTCTGGCCCACGCAGCGAGGCCCCCCACCTGGGCGGCATCCTTCATCGCTTTGATCTCCGCCTTCGCCAGCTCAGTGGGGCCAGCGGCCTCTATGGCGAGGTTCTCCGCCTCGCGCGACCGCCCGCGGCAACTGATACATCCGCGCAGCTACGTAATTCGTGATTGTCCTCCCCCCCTCTCCCTCCCCTTGTCCTGGGCATGTCGCGGGAGCGAACGCTCGAGGCGTCAGCCCTCGTCCTGCTGCTCCTCCTCCTCCTCCTTCTCCTCCTCCTCTTGCCTCTGCCCGTGGTGTCGCTGTGATGCTGCTTTTCTGTCTCCTCCTCGTCATTCCTCGTTCTCCTCCTGCTCCTCCTCCCTCGACTCATCTGCTTTGCACTGATGAGCGAACGCATCCCCCCACCTCCTCCAGCTCCTCCTTTTCCTCCTTCACCTCCTCCATCTCCTCCACTCGTATGCCCTCTCCCTCGGCCCTCTTTCCTCATCCGCTGCGCGCAGTGTTTCCCCAACCGCGGCGCCGGGCCAAACTCGGCGCACCATCGCTGAGCCAACGGTCTGGCGCCAAGCTCCGCCACCGCGCCGTCAGCAAGCTGCTGCGCGAGCTGTCCTGCACCAGCCAGCGCGAGTGCCACGAGGTGGCCATCCTGCTGTGAGGGGACATTTGAAGTGATTCGCTACGCGCTCCTCTTTCGGCATCTCAATGCTTTCCCACACAGTTCGATACAGCGTCGTGAGCGCACCTGCGCACCGATTCTGGCCCGTGTGACATCAGCTCTGTCCTCGATGCGTGCCCTCGTCACTTGTGGCCGACTTCCCAAGTGGTTCGCTCCGCGGAGTTCCACGGTTAGTCTCCACGGTTATATGTCTACATTCGAACAGCTTCGTTCTAGCACACGTTTGTGCGGCGTCAAATTGTATAACCAGTACAAAGCCTGGGTTGTTTTTTTCGAGTTCATGAGCATTGTCCGATGGGCGGGCTGAGCGCCCTGCGCCGCGCTGGAAGCATCGCGAGTGCAAATACGTCAGCTTCGCCGGGGAAGGATGTAAGTGCGTGCGCACAGGAGAGACATCCGAGGTGACAAACAGACCACATTCGAGAGTGCGCGCCAGCAGAGACCGAGTAGAAGGGGGGATCCCCCTCAGCTACCTCCCTTCCTCTCACCATCTGGACCTCCCTTCCCCCTAACCCACCCCTTTCTTCGCGCTTCGAAGCCCCCCCACTCCCCCCATTTGGCTCCCCTGCCGGAAGCACTCCCCTCCCTCTCCCCCATTTCCCCCTGCGACCCCTGTAGGTACCCCCCCCCAACCCACCTCATTGCTCCTCCTCGGTCGGACGCTCCCCCTTACCTCGTTTTTTTTTCCACCCACGAAAGCTGCCCCTCCATCCTTTGGCCTCCTCAGCCGGAAGCCCTCCCCTCCCCCCCCAGTTCCCTTTCCATGGGGTATGTGCAAACTACCCCGCTCTGTTGACCCCGCTCCCGTGCGGGGTCAACCCCCCTTATGGCATGTGCAGGCCATGTGGGGCCTGAAACAAGTGGCACGTGTGCCATGGTTCTTGCACAAAAAGGAGGGGGAGGAGGAGGAGGAGGAGGAGGAGGAGGAGGAGGAGGAGGAGGTGGAGGAGGGGGCGTGGGGAGCGTTTGGCTCCGACTGCCGTCGCTAATCTTCTGACAACTCGCTCGTTGTTCTTTCTTTAATTGGGTGCAAATCTTCCCTGCACGCTTCGCGCGTTCTGCGGTAGTTTTCAATTCAGTTCAGGAAGAGGGGGAAGAGGGGGCAAGACATCGCCCCTCGGGGCCCAGCAACGGAGCCCAAATCCCAGGTGGGGAGGGGGGGGAGGGTGGTGTGCGCCGCGACGCGGAATAAAGTGCTCGGAGCGGAGGGGGCACAGGGCGGAGGTCCCACTGGGGCGCTGGGGGCGCGGAGAGGAGGGGGGGGAGGTGGCGTGCGTCGCGACGCGGAATAAAATGGTCGGGGCGGAGGGGGCACCGGGCGGAGCTTGGGGCAAAGGGCCACGGGGCGGGGGTCCAACGGGGGGGGAGGGGTGGAGGTGGTGTGCGTCGCGACGCGGAGTAAAATTGTCGGGGCGGGGGGGGGGCACGGGGCGGAGCCCCCACTGGGGCGCCGGGTACGCGGGGAGGGAGGTGTGGGAGGTGGTGTGCGTCGCGACGCGGAATAAAGCGTTCGTTGCGGAGGGGGCAGTGGGCGGGACTCCCGCTGGGGCGCTGGGGACGCGGAGGGGCTCGGGGCAGAGAGCCACGGCGCGGGGGTCCCACTCTGGCGCTGGGGGCGCGGGGGGGGGGTGCGACGCGGAATAAAGCGTTCGTGGCGGAGGTGGCTGTGGGCGGGGCTCCCGCCAGGGCGCTGGGGACGCGCGGGGCCTCGGGGCAGAGAGCCACGGCGCGGGGGTCCCACTCTGGCGCTGGGGGCGCGGGGGGGGGGGGGGGGCGACGCGGAATAAAACGTTTGTGGCGGAGGGGGCAGTGGGCGGGGCTCCGCTGGGGCGCTGAGGACGCGGGGGGGCTCGGGGCAGAGAGCCACGGAGCGGGGATCCCACTCTGGCGCTGGGGGCGCGGTGTGCGTGTGTGTGTGTGTGTGTGTGTGTGTGTGTGTGTGTGTGTGTGTGTGTGTGTGTGTGTGTGTGTGTGTGTGTGTGTGTGTGTGTGTGTGTGTGTGCGACGCGGAATAAAGTGGTCGGAGCTCTAGACACCCTGTGCAAGAGAAATAACATAAATAATTGTTTGACCCCGCTCCCTTGCTTGGGGGTTTTGCCTGCAAATTTCACCAACCAGAAGCCCCTGCCCCTCCCCCCCTTGTCGCGATCTGGAAGCTCCCCCTTTTTGGCTCCCCTGCCAGAATTCCCCCTGCACCCCCTGCAACTAAACCTCTTACCCCTACCCTTCTCCTTCCCAGTCGGAATGCCCCCTTTTTTCTCGCCCCCTGGACGGGAGGGGGGCGAAAACAGCACTACCTTAGTATCTTACTCACGTGGCAACGAAAGGAGGCGTATAACAAACTGTTCTACTCTACTGTCGCACGGCAACGACTGGTGGGGTGAAAACAATACTATCCCATTGCTCTCCCCGCGTGGCAACACTTGGGGTGGAAAACGTACTATTCGACTTGACTCATCGCGTGGCAACACAGGGGGCGAAACACACACAATAGTTTGATATACCCATCGCATGGCGACTCAAAAACCGCAGTTCGAGTCCTGCGGTTCGCCAGAAAGCTGCGGAATCCTCAAGATCCCTCCTTCAGAAATTCGTTGGGCCATAGTTGGGTCATGTCCTGCTTTACTCTACTCGTCACGTGGCAGCACATGTGGGCGGGAACACATCGCGTCTTGCTCCGCACCTCACGTGGCAACGCCTGGGGGAGCAAACACATACAACGCAAGGAGGCGGAACCACTTACAAGTTTACTTTCGTCGGGTGGTAACGCAGGGCGGCGAAGCCAAATAGTGGTCAGCTCTAGCCGTTAGGCGAAACGCCTGGGGGGAAACAACACATACCATTCTGCCATACTCGCCACGCGGCAACGCAGGGAGCGGAAACATGTGGCTCTACCTTCTCGCCACGTGGTAACGCAGGAGGGGGGAGGGGCGAAACACGCAATTCAGATTCGCCCGTGCTCCACAAGAGCGGAAAGGGGGAACTGGTTCGGTGACGAAGCCGACGAGGGCGACGGCGAAAACGACGACGAGAAACGACGAGGCCCAGGACGGGGAGGAAGAGGGGCAGGAGGACGACGACGTCGACCACCAACAACCACCGCCCACCACGCCCGCTCGCCCGGTCGCCCGCCCGCCCGCGCGGCCGCCCGCTCGCCCGCCCGCGCGCTTGCCCGCGCGCCTGCCCGCTGGCGATTTCGCACGTCCGCTCGCCCGCCCGCCCGCCCGCCTGCTGACTCGCGCGCCAACGACGACGACCATCTTGCGGCGACGAGGAGGACGACGAGTTACCTCTCGCCCTTTGGACCTCCTCAGCCTGGAAACCCTCCCCCCCCTTCCGCAGCGCCAGTCTCGAACCCGCAGGGACCACAATCCCCAATAATCTCCAAGGAATCCTCAGGGATCTGGCGGAATATATCTGAAATCCTTCGGAAGCCCTCGATCGTGACTGTTCTCGTCGTGTGGCCCGCAGAGATCATAAACAAATGCCTGCTCTTATCGTCACGTAGCAACGCCTGGGGGACGGAAACAACTACTATGTAATACCCGCCACGTGGCAACGCACGAGACGGAAAATTGTTCATGTCATTATACTGGTTAAGTGAAAACGCAGGAGGGCAGAAACGAATTGCACTCACCCCGATCCACGCTTGGCAACGCGGAAAGATCGGAACAACTAATACTATGTTCTATTCTCCACATGCGTGCCCGCCCACCAGCTCGCCGCCGCCGACGACGACATCGACGAGAACGACAACGAGGACGACGATGAAGACGACAGAAAGGGGAGGGAGACAGAGGGAACCTGGGCTTGCCCCCGGCCCCGAAAGGGGGTGGGGGGAAGGGAGGGGTAGCTGTGGAAGAACCCCCCCTGACTGGCGACCCCCTGCTTCGCAACGGGAGGGGTGGCTAGCTTATGCAGCCTCCTTCCTTGGAAAGGGGAGCCTGGGCCCACCCTAGAAGGCAAGAGGGTGAGGGGGAGGCCTAGCTTTCAAAGCCCCTCCCCTTTCCCCCCTTATTGCGAAGGGGAAGGGAAGCCCCAGCTTACCCCAGCTCTCAGAAGGGGAGGAGGGGGGAAGCTCCCGAAGGCACCCCACCCCTTTTCAAAGAGGGGCCCAAGCTTCTCGAAGGGAGAGGGGGTAGCTTCGGAAGCCCCCCCTCCCACTTTGGGAGGACGAGAGCTTGAAGCTGGGCCCCCTTTTGTTCTTTCCGTCGCCCGTAGCGCGCTCCTTCCGACTATCAACTCGCGCATGCTGCGACACAGTTGTGACAAAGACTGCGACACAAAACCGAGAATACCAGCGTTACAATCTATGGCAGAAAACAACATCACAGCGCCCAGGGCGCTCAGCCAGCCACCGTGATTTTCGCACTATGACAATCTGATAATCTGTGCGCGCACGTTCCATTATCCTTCCCAAAGGGTTGACATACGACACGTCGCCAAAGCAACAGCTCACGCCAAGACGCCCACGAGGATCCTCGAAGCTACGCTCATGAGGCCGCCCAAGCGACCGGTGTGCGAACCTGGCCAGCAAGGAGATCTACGTGCGGTGCGATGGCGCCAGGGGGTCCCAACGTCGCGGCAGCACCTTCAGCGCCTCCATAACTACATCGTCCCCATCGCTCGCAGGCAAACGGCACGCATGGACGGGGAACTGGAGGCCGCATCCTCTTTCTCCTCCGCCCTCTCCCTCCTCCTTCACCCTTGTTCCTCAACATCTGGCAACGATGACGCATATCCTACACTGGTCGGTCCCCGTGAGACAATGATGACGAACTCCTGGGAGGGGGGCCATAGGCAGCATCAGACAGCGAAGATGCACATCCCACGTGCGCGCGAGGGAGCGATGAATGACGGGAAGGTGGCGCAAGCCTCACCTGGAGGCGAGAATGCAAACGCCCTGGTAGCACACAATCGCACAGGTTTATTACCATGTCACGAGAAGCCTGGACGCCCGACACCCACGGCAGTGCGGCTGAGTGTCCTGCGGCCAGCAGCATGCAATGAAAGCGGGATCCGCTGCTTGCCAGCGGCGGCGGTCTTACGCTCCTTCGAGCCAACCGAACCCACGGTTGACACACAATCGCAAAGGTGGTGCGCTAGCAACGTTATCATGTTATGCATATGCTGGGAGAGACAGCGGCGGCAGTCTAAACAGTCGCCGTCGGAGGACCACGCCCTGTGGAATATCAAGCAGCCAGGCTAGCCTGAACAGCCACACGAAAAACACAACGTAGCAGAAACGGGTGTCAGCGAGAATCCAGCGATTGACGGCCTGCCGACGCGCATGCGACCTGACCAACGAGTCTGCCGCCAGATCGCGAAGGAGCGTCGCGCCAGTGGGGAGGCCGGTCGCGCGTCAAGCCACGAGCGGAGCAAAGTCCAGCCCGATGGCGCGAGGTGGCGCCCAGGCGTCCAGGGCAGCGCGCGTGAGCGGGAACGCCGCCTTGATGTTCCTCCGCTCCTTACTCGCCCACTCCTCCGCACTCCGGACGAGCTCGTCCAGGTAGTGCCTCCGATTTCGGGCCACCGGGGAGGGTGGTGGGTGGATAGGGGGGTGGCGCGGACCTGCCCGGGGAGGGAAAGCGAGGAGCGGGAGGCGCGGCAGCAGGAGAACGGGACGAGGGTTGGGAAGGAACGAGGAAGGACTGCGGAGGAGCCGAGAGGGAGGCTGGGGAGGACGGCGGGACTCGGCGAGGAGAATGAGGAGGTGGAGAGGGGAAGGGAGGGAGAGGGGAGGGGAGGGAGGAGAGAAGAGAGGGAGAGGAGACGGGAGGAGGTACAGCATTTGTGCTTGAGCCACCTATGCCATTCCCCAGGGTTTCATGTTACACTATTTGCCCGGAGTCGGACCTTGATTCCCCGATCGCAGAATTTGCAGTGGTTGACCCGTCGTCTACTGTACAAAGGATAAAAGGAAATTAGCATGAAAGCTGGAAGCTGGAAATTGGCATGGGACTGCACACGGCGGGGAATTAATATGAAGTTGGGTGAAGGAGAGTGGAGAAAGAGAGGGGAGGAGAAGAGAGGAAGGCAGGGAAATGCGGACGAGGGCGACGAGAGGAAGAGCGTAGAGTCAGGAGGTGAGCGGAGGAGGGGAGTGCAAATAATGATGAGAACAATAGCTCGTCAGTCGGGTGACCGATGCCTGAGGGGGCACACATACCTCTCCTCAGCGTTCCTCCTCGTCCTTAGCGTATCTGTATCCTCCTCATACCCTTGGCCCTTTGCGAAATGACATGTTCTGCGCATCGGAGCATACGGAGACAAGGGAGACAAGGAAGAGGGAAGGGCAAGAGGAGGACGACGACGACGGCGCCGAAAGACGCAAAGCAAGGAGACCAACAAGCAACGAAAACGGTGACCACTATGATAACCATGAAGCACACCGATGGCGGGCAAACAGAAAACACAGCAACACAAACCGTGGTACATCACAAGGTTTAGCGGAGTGAAGCTTTATGATAATCTATACATACGGCGCAACGTATGGCCTGAAGCACGCCGATGGCGGGCAAACAGAAAACACAACAACACATACCGTGGTAGATCACAAGGTTTAGCGGAGTGAAGCTGTATGATAATCTATACATACGGCGCAACGTATGGAGTTCTTCTACCGATGGAACATGTGAAACTTATAGGTGTACTTCAAGAGCCGCGACCTCTAGGGTGAAACTCATGATCTTTGAGGTGCAACGCATGGACAACAACCTGCCGAATGCAATGGATGGTGCGCAATCTGTGACGGATGGGACCATGCGGGTTGAACCCGTGACTTAGACTCCGGGTGGGGCCAGATAGCCCCCACCGCTGGGACCCAACGACGCCCACTGCTGGACCCAACGACTAAGGCCACCAGGAGCGGGTGCCCACTGCCAGGACCGAACAGGCGCCCACCGCTGGAACTTTTCCATGGGAGCAGCCAAAGGAGGAAAGTAGAAAGGACGAACGAACAGCTGACAGTTCACACTTGCAAGCGTCACATGAGCGTGCGCATATGCAACGAACTGGCGAGACAAGTAGCTGGGCACGCCTAGGTGATAGAGGAGCCTAAACTCACGAGCAATGGGCCGAGGCAGACGCAAGACTAGTGGGCCGTCAAAACGCAGTGCGAAAACAACACGCCCCACTAGCAAGGACTCTGCATAATGCCACTGGCATAAACGAGCCAAATCACATACAACAACAGTGGCGGCGGAGGGAGAAATAAAACGGAAGACTAGAGCAAGGGCATCCGATCTGAGATAAGAACACGCCAGGAGCTCGCGACCGTCAGACCCTGGCAGCCAGGGCAGTTCGTTACAATGCAATCAGAGACTCCTTGTGTGCAGACAGTGCTTGGAGAAAGACAAGTACTGGATCTGATAAAAGGGATGAGGACCAACGTGATGAGAAGGACTACAGGAAAGGCGGCGTCGAAGCAAGAAAATTGATAACCAAGCCGAGCTATAGACGGCTGCCGAGCCGCGGAGAAGAACGGTGCTCGACTGGGCGCGCAACTCGGCCTGAGCCGCTCCACCTACTGGGCCGACAGGGGAAAGTAATCGGAAGAAGATATGTATGTATGTATATGTATACACACATATGCGTGTGCTGTGCCGGCAACAGGCCGACCACTGCATAGCACTGCGCGCGTCTAGACACTATTCTGCATTAGCGAGGACCCTAGGCCAGAGCCCGCCTTGGCGGCGAGCGCGGGGGGGAAGCGAGAAGAGGCGGGCCTTCTCAAGACCCCCAGGACCGCCAAGGCGCTTTCACCATGTCTGTGACTACCTACCAAACCACCCCAACCCAACCCGCAGACCCGAATTTCGGGTTGGGGGGTGTACGGGTTCCATGTGTGTTTTCTCAATGCTCCCCGACCCCCCCACACTGGAAATGGAGGGCACTTTGAGGCCTGCGGGTCGGGTTGGGGTGGTTTGGTGGGTGGTGAGTCTGTAAGTCCGCTACGAGCGTCGCGGATCGGTGGCACAGGCCGAAGGCCACTACAATCGGGTCAAGGTGCTCGGCACCGTGAGGGGGGGCGCGGCCTTAGCCGCTCTTCGTACTGGGCCCTATACTTCTTGTGGTCTGGGTGGTTCTCGGCAGCCCGCGCGATTGGCAGGGCGCCCATCCCCGCCGTTCCTTGCTGCCTCCTTCTCATCCCTCCTTCCTCTACTTCCCCCATCTCCCCTTTCTCCTCCTCCTTCCTCCTCCCTCTTTCTTCCTTCCCCCCCCATTATTCTCCTCCTACTAACAGGAACTGGTTAAGGCCCGCCGCGGCCCAACGCTGACACAGCTTCCCATCTCATAAGCTCCATGTATAATTTGGAGGAGGAAGAAGGGAGTGAGGAGCAACCAATTGTAGAAATAGATGGTGGCGATGTTGATGATGCGTGCTGGCGCACGGTGATTCTGAGCTAGCCTTGATAGCTATGCTGGTGCTGACGGCAACGTTGGCGCTTGACATCTTCGATGCCGTAGCGGATGGGCAGCAGTCATGTTGCAAGTGGCAATGCGTGTTTGCAAATTGCTCAAGTGAGTCAATCTCAGAGAAATTCAGGCGGTTGGCCTTCACGATTGCTGTCGTACGAAAGACGATCAGAACAAATCCCAAAGAACCCTCCTGGAAAGCACGGACAACCCCATCAAGATGAAGACAATACGCGTCCCAACGAATCCGCAACCTACCCCTATGCACGGAGTGGGCGTGTCCTCAAGTCCTTTGTCTACTCCTCGAAACCTCAACTCTCACTCCTGAGGAGACTTTACAAGGCCTGGGCCCAAATTACGAAATATCCAGGGGCTTCCCGCGTGCCACCTGGGGCTTCCCGCGGACCCCCTGGGCTCCCCGAAGTGCTCTCGCTTGACTGTTCGGGCCCAAGGGGGCCCCAAGACGGGCCAAGAGGGCTCCACGAGGCCCGCAAGACGGGCCCCGAGACGCCCAAGATGGCCTCAAGAAGGCCCAAGACGCCTCCAAGACGCTCCAAGAGGCCCCCAAGAGACCTCCCATGAGGGCCTCAAGAGGCACAACGTATTGATGTTCCTCAGGTGTTTGAAGAATGTTGGCGTTCTCGCCTTTTCAGATTTCCGACACTCCAAGACGACCCTAAACGGCTCAAGAGGCCTCCAAGAGGTCCCCAAGACGGCCTAAGAGCACCTCACGGCGATCCAAGAGGCCAAGAGAGGCCCCCAAAGGCCCCCAAACGGTCCCCAAGAGGCCTCCAAATTGCCTCCACGAGGCCACCGAGAGGCCTCCCACGAGATCCCAATGAACATCCAATCTTCGTACCCGCAACCCAGGCACGGTGGCGGGATGGGCCAAAGTCCATTAGATCCGCCGCCCCCTGCTTGCAGGGGTGCACGGCGTGCTGGATGTTTCAGGTTTTGGTTTTGGTTCTTTTTCTAAAAGAACTCCCCAGTGGGCTCCGGCCCGTCCCGCCGGGGTCCCGGGAGGAAGCCGAAAACACCTCAATCCGGAAAACAAATCCTCCAAAAACGGCCGTTTCGCTCGGGACATCCTCAACAAATCGCGAAGATGGCCCAAGATGGCCTCCAAGTCCGCCCGAGATGGTCCAAGACGGCCTCCAAAACGGCCCAAGAGAGTCCAAGACGGCCCAAGACGGCCCAAGAGGCCCCCCAGAGGCCTCCCAGACGGCCCAAGAGGCCTCCAAGAGGTCCTCCAGGAGAGTCCGAAGAGGCCAAAATCATTGATTTTCCCTTGGTTTTTGAAGGATTTTGGCATTTGCGCCTTTTCGGCTCTCCGACGGCTCAAGACGGCCCAAGAAGCCCCCAAGATCGCCCAAGAGGCCCCCAAGAGAGCCCCCTGATGGCCCAAGTGGCCTCCAAGATGGCCCCTAGAGGGCCCCAAGACGGCCCAAGAGGCCTCCAACACGCCCAAGATGGCCTCCAAGACGCCCAAGATGGCCTCCAAGACGGCCCTGGAGCGCCCCAAGAGGGTCCCCCGTTGGCCCAGAAAGGCCCCCAAAACGGCTCCCGACGGCGTCAGACGTGCCAGGAACCCACCAAGATGGCCGAAGTTGGCTCGAAGCTGGCCCAAAAGGGCCCAAGAGGCCCCCAAGAGGGCCTCCAGGAAGGCCAAAAGATGCCAAAATCACTGATTTTCCCAAGGTTTTTGATGGATTTGGGCATTTCCCTTTTTTCGGCCTTCCGACGGCCCGAGACGGCCCAAGAGCCCCCAAAGATCGCCGAAAGATCGCCCAAGAGGCCTCCAAGACGGCGACGATGACCATCAAGACGCCCACGTGTTCCCCGAAGGCTTTCCAAACCGATTCGGGGAACACATGGTCCGATGGCTTGGCAGGTCTGGCCTCAACGTTCGGCCACATAGGCGCTTCCACAAAGGCAGGGGGCGGCGGTGATTCGCCGTAGGCGTCTTCGATCCGCCGCCCCCTGCTTGCAGGGGTGCACGGCGTGCTGGATGATTCAGGTTTTGGTTTTGGTTCTTTTTCTAAAAGAACTCCCCAGTGGGCTTCGGCCCGTCCCGCCGGCCACCCGCGCGTTTCCCAAAATGCGTCTGTCAATGCCCAAAAACGGCCGTTTCGCTCGGGACATCCTCAAAAAATCGCGAAGATGGCCCAAGATGGCCTCCAAGTCCGCCCGAGATGGTCCAAGACGGCCTCCAAAACGGCCCAAGAGAGTCCAAGACGGCCCAAGACGGCCCAAGAGGCCCCCCAGAGGCCTCCCAGACGGCCCAAGAGGCCTCCAAGAGGTCCTCCAGGAGAGTCCGAAGAGGCCAAAATCATTGATTTTCCCTTGGTTTTTGAAGGATTTTGGCATTTGCGCCTTTTCGGCTCTCCGACGGCTCAAGACGGCCCAAGAAGCCCCCAAGATCGCCCAAGAGGCCCCCAAGAGAGCCCCATGATGGCCCAAGTGGCCTCCAAGATGGCCCCTAGAGGGCCCCAAGAGGGCCCAAGAGGCCTCCAACACGCCCAAGATGGCCTCCCAGACGCCCAAGATGGCCTCCAAGACGGCCCTGGAGCATTCCAAGCGGGCCCCAAGTCGGCCCATAGAGGCCCCCCAAACGGCTTCCGACGGCTTCAGACGTGCCAGGAACCCACCAAGATGGCCGAAGTTGGCTCGAAGCTGGCCCGAGACGGCCCAAAAAGCCCCAAAGATCGCCCAAAGCTTGCCCAAGAGGCCTCCAAGACGGCCAAGATGACCTTCAAGATGCCCACGTGTTCCCCGAAGGCTTTCCAAACCGATTCGGGGAACACGTGGTCCGATAGCTTGGCAGGTCTGGCCTCAACGTTCGGCCACATAGGCGCTTCCAAAAAGGCAGGGGGCGGCGGTGATTCGCCGTAGGCGTCTTCGATAGTTGAGGCCAGCGTTCTGACGAGAGCACCATTGCCAATCAGAGAGTGGCTGACGCTCAAGTGGCAGCACCATACACAGCGAGTACACGGCTGGCGCTGCAGCGAGGTCATCATTCCCAATTCGCTGAGGCGGCAGCACCATTCCCAATCAGGGATGTGTCGCTGTTACCATTCCACAAGCACGGCTACTACTAGTACTAATACTACTACAACTACGACGAAGGGAACATCCAACACCACTTTTCAAAATAACCCGTACAGCGCGCACAAATATGTGAAACTTTTCGCGCGACGGTCATCCCTGAGATCCCGCACGCAGAGCGCGCGCACATCTTTGCTACGGCCACCCATCCTCGGACAATCCCGCGGGGACCGGGGCACGTGCATACACACACATGGACCCCCTCAACTCTGCCTGGGCTTTATATACCTACAGCACCATCGAAATGAAACTGTTTTACGCCATTGCGACTACATATGACGGACTTTGTTCCAGAGGTAAAATGAGGGTAACGAACGATTGCTCGAAGCATTGAGTGATTGTGTGAGTCCGTGATGGAAGGGAACACCCTGTAAAGAGAATAGCGGTCATGAGATGGTTTATGAGTGCAGTGATGGATTACGTACTTCAAAATTCAAACAGGCGGAGTATGTTTTAATGTTTTGCAGCTGCGCTGCTCTATACCACAATGAAGCGCAGTCGGCCTCAGCTATGGGTCCAGGCTGCACTCGCGTACGGCGCTTGCAAGCAACCCTCGAGAAATGGCCATAGAGGGGCAGCACGCATCGGGCATGTGAAAACTAACATCATGATACCCTGCGCACAACCGTCGCCAAAGGCCCAGGGTGACGCGGATGATGTGTTCACCGTGCGCCTGAGCGGCAATGCTGTGATCATGACGCGAGAGAAACGGCGATGCCGGATATGCACTGAAGAAGCAAACAACGCGAGATAGCCAACCAAAAATGAATCGAGAGATGCAACTGAAAAAATTGTAACTACCGCTGGATCCTATCGTGACGAATCATCCGAGAGGAGCGTCCTCGAACTCCGTCTTCATAGCCTCGGAGTGGACCTCGCACGCGGCGTGCCAGGGGCAGCGACAATGGATGCCATCAGGATGCTCGTCTGCCTCTGGCCTGGCCACTCCTAAAAGCGCAAACTCGCCAGAATATTGGCAAGGATTCCACCACATTGATCCGCCACTCGTATCCATACAAACTTCTTTGGACCACTCCGTGCACAAGCGGGAAGCTCCCACTGCTCCCCGCCAAAGATCATCCTCTTCTTCCCTTCCTTCCTCGTGTTCTTACTCCTGCACCCTCCCCCTCGTTGTCCTCCTCATCCTCCTCCCACCTAATCTAAAATCTGGCTTTCAAGCACCGCCTTCGGCATGTCCACCCGAACAAACACGAGAGCTTCCGTGTCTACTACTGCCGACGTGGTGCAACCACCATGGGAGGGAGGGAAGGGGAAGTGAGGGAGGAGCGAGAGGGAGGGATAAGAGAGGGAGGCGAAGGTTGAGGAGAAGAGGGATGCGAGGGGAGGTAGGGATGGAGTGTACGAGGAGGAAGACAAAAGACAGGATAGACGGGCGAAGGCAGGGTGGGAAGGCAGGAAGGGCAGGAGGGAGGAGAGAAAGAGAGACCGAGGGAATTCGTGCAAAGCTGGAGCACACGATATGAGGCCTTCTGGCACTTGCCGATGTCCCTCTTCGTGCTGTGAAACAGGTCCTCGTGCTGAGGACAGAAGCCCAACAAGTAGTGCTTGCAAATGTTGTCTTCCTCGCGGCGGCAAGCGGCAATTTTCGTGTCGAGCTGTCGCTGCCGCCCGCCGGCAAGTCCTGCGAACCACGACCTGCGTCGGAAAGAAGGCATCGGCGCCCCTGGCGTTCCCCCCACGGGGAGGGAGGAGGGGAAGAGGCGACGATGGAGGAGTAAGGAGGGAGGCGTTGGAGGGAGAGGAGTGGGATTTGGAATCGGAGAAGGAGGAGGAAGAGGAGAAGAGGAGGAAGAGGAGGAAGAGGAGGAAGAGGAGGAGAGGGAGGAGAAGGAGGAGGAAAAACATGAGGAGGAAAGCATGTGCATATCATATGGTGAGGAGGAGACAGGAAGCAGGAATACAAGAGGAAGGGACAAGAGAATACGTAAAGCAGGAGGAAAAGGCAGAACGAGGTGCAGGGGGTATGAGTGGGGCGAGGCAAGAGGGGGGGTGGGCAATGCAGGAGGAGGGCGAGGAGGTGATGACGATGGGGGGGAGAGGCGGAGAATAAGAGCAGGGTGTGGAGGGGGAAGCGAGGGCCCATTGTATGTTTAGGTTTTCCTCCCTCCAAGGGAAAAAGCCAAACCAAGGAGGGCCCGAAACCTCGCCCTTCGAACCCTGCCGGAGTGCTCGCGTCTCTGATACTCCTCATCTTCGCACGACCCTGCGCTCCTGCCACCTCCCTCTTCCCTCCTCCATCACTCTCTCCCTCATCCCTCATCGCTCGTCCCTCCTCCTTCTCCTCCTTTTCCTCCTCCTCCTTCTCCTCACCCTCATTCTCATCCTCCTCCTCCTCCTCATCCCAGTCCTCATCCTCATCCAAATTCTCATCCTCCTCCTCCTCCTCATCCCAGTCCTCATCCTCATCCTCATCCCGATCCTCCTCCTCCTCTTCCTCTAACTCCTCCTCCTCCTCCTCCTCATCATCATCATCAACATCTTCATCCTCATCCGCATCCTCATCTTCATCGTCATCCTCCTCCTCATCCTCATCATCAACATCATCATCATCATCATCATCATCATCATCATCATCAGCATCCTCATCCTCATCGTCATCATCATCATCATCATCATCATCAACGTCATCATCATCACCATCACCATCATTATCGTCATCATAATCATCATCGTCATCATCATCGTCATCATCATCGTCATCATCATCCTCATCCTCGACCTCCTCAACCTCCTCCTCCTCCTCCTCCTCATCAGCATCATCGTCATCGTCATCGTTATCGTCATCGTCATCGGCATCGTCATCGTCATCGTCATCCTCCTCCTCCTCCTCCCAATCCTCATCCTCATCCTAATTTTCATCCTCATTCTCATCCTCATCATCGTCATCGTCATCATCATCATATTCATCATCCTCATCCTCATTATCATCATCATCATCATCATCATCATCATCATCATCATCATCATCATAGATGTCATCATTATCATTACCATCACCATCACCATCACCATCACCATCACCACCATCATCTTCATCGTCATCATCGTCATCATCAGAATCAGCATCGTCACCATCATCGTCATCCTCATCCTCCTCAACCACATCCTCATCCTCATTCTAATCCTCATCAGCATCAACATCATCATCACCATCACCATCATCATCAGATATCATCAGCATGATCATCGTCATCGTCATCGTCGTCGTCATCATCATCACCATCATCAGCATCATCATCATAAGCATCATCCTCATCATCATCGTCATCATCTCCGTCACCAGTATCGTCCTCCTCATCATCATCATCATCATCATCATCATCATCATCATCCTCGTCAACAGCATCATCAAAACCATCACCACCAACACGATCACAATCACCATCACCATCATCATCATCATCATCGTCATCATCATTACCGTCTTCATTATCAAACGCATCAGCATCATCATCATCACCATCATCAGCATCATCAACATCAACACCATCATCACTACCATCACCATCGCCATCGCCATCGCCATCACTATTGCCATTACCATCATCATCATCATCATCAACATCATCATCATCATCATAAACATAAACATCATCATCATCATAACCATCATACTCATCCTCATCCTCATCCTCATCCGCATCCTCCTCCCCATCATCATCAACATCATCATCACCATTATCACCGTCATCTTCATCATCATCATAATCAGCATCACGATCATCTTCGTCATCATCACCATTCTCATCGTCATCATCCTCATCCTCATCCTCGTCATCCTCCTCATCCTCATCGTCATCCCCATGGTCAACAGCATCATCACCATCATCACCATCACCATTACCATCATCATCATCATCATCCTTATCATTGTCGTCATTATCACTATCAAGAATAGCATCAGCATCAGCATCAGCATCATCATCATCAGCATCATCATCGTCATCGTCATCATCGTCATCATCATAATCATCAGCATCAGCAGTATCATCATCATCAGGGTCATCATCATCATCATCATCACCATCATCGCCATCATCATAATGACAATCGTCATCCTCATCATCGTCATCATCATCGCTAGCATCATCATCATCGCTATCATCATCATCATCATCATCATCAGGATCATCGTCATCAGCATCGTTTTCATCGTCATCGTCATTATCCTCATTATGATCCTCATCCTCCTCACTATCATGAGCATCACCATCACCATCATCGTCAGCATCGTCATCATAATCATCATCAGCAACATCAATATCAACATCATCACCATCACCACCACCATCACCATCACCATCACCACCACCACCATCACCATCACCATCACCATCACCATCACCATCACCGTCACCGTCACCGTCACCGTCACCATCACCATCACCATCACCATCACCATCACCATCACCATCACCATCACCATCATCATCATCATCATCATCATCATCATCATCATCATCATCATCATCATCATCATCATCATCATCCGTCGGTCCTCGTCAGCTGCAAATCATCCATGTTATCGTTATCGTCATGCTCCTCGTCGTGTTTCTTGCCGCGTCATCCATCCTGAGGGGCGCCTGGGTGACGCTTTCGAGCAGCAGTCATCGCCTACGCCTTGCTCCGAGCATACTCCAAACACCACACTGGACGACGAAATACCCTGGAGCTGAACGCGACAATTGAATCATTTCGCCGTCTCGTTCATCGCTATAGACCTCTAAATTCGCATCCCTCCTCCCTTTCCTTCTCCTTGCTCAACTGTACTCCTTCCTGCCTCCAGGACAGGAGGGGGGCGAGGATGAGAGGGACAGGGTGGTAGAGAGATGTAGAGAGAAAGGCAGCGAGGAAATACGGAGGTGGGTCATGAGGAAGCCGACGGTCAGGAGGTGGACGAGGACGAACCGGCGTAATGCTCGAAAATTGCAATCGTGATATGTTGAGCTGGAGTTGCAGAATACTTCCCGCACACATAAGCGTGTTGCTGGATGTGCAAAATGACTGAAACACGCCATGTTTGAACTATGAATTGCAGGCGCATGTTCCGTTGACTAGTTGGGGCCCACGGTGGGTCGGATGGCCGTCATTGTAAAGGATTGCTACGTGGCAGCCGTGTTGATGTGGTTTTGCCTGGGACGACTGGCTTTGCGAGCTGTCGACAGGTGCGGTCCGCCTGACAATCTGCTTACGCAGGTGTGAAACACGAGATTCACAAAATATGGCTATTCGATAAACGTTCTCCTCATGAGCTAGCTCATTACTCAAAGAGGGGACCCCGCATGAGAACCCAACTTCCAGCTTAAGCACGAATGCAGCTAGAAATATCTGTAAGACTCGGGACGAGTTAGCCGGGTCGAACGAGTTAGGGAGCCCCACCCGATTCGGCGAGCGAGACGTGCGCCGCGCCCACGCGGGAACGTCACTTCCAGGAGGATACGCACTGAGCTTGGACGAGGGCGACGACTCGCCGCCCACGCGCGACCCCGTCCTCAACAACTTGGCGAGTGGACGCCGAGGCGGGAGCGCCACTGTCAGGCAAAAATCTGCGCGGCGCCGAAGCGAGAACGACGTTTTCGCCCGCTCGTGCGTGGACACATTGGCGAGCGAAAAACGTGCGCCGCGCCCGATCGGGATCTCTATCCTCAGGAAACATAAGCTCGGCGCCGACATTTCTCCATTACGAGCGCGATGTGAGCCCCGTCCCATTCACGCCACGCATTTTGCAACGTCGACGCCAACACGTCCATGTTGAAAGGAGAAACACCGACTTTGAATTGTTGTTTACAACTCTGATGGACAGGGCCCCGATTGACGGGCCATCGGCGGGCTAGGTGCCAGCCTTGGAGTGTATACGAAGAGGGAGTCAGGACAGGGTATGCGTTTAGGAGCGCAATCAACCATGCAAAGAATGGTGTGCGAGAGAAAGGGGGCGAGGGAGGGAGGGAGGATGAGACGATGATGAGGAGGACTCTGTATCTGGGACCCTCTGTAAGTCACAACGTGTTATGATGATGATGATGCTGATGCTGATGATGATGATGATGATGATGATGATGATGATGATGATGATGATGATGATGATGATGACGATGACGATGACGATGATGATGACGACAAGGATGAGGAGGAAGATGAGGGGGAGGAGGAGAAGGAGGAGGGAGAAGGAGGAGCAGCAGGAGCAGCAGGAGCAGGAGGGGAGGGAGGGAGGGCGGGCGGGCGGGAGGGAGGGAGGGAGGGAGAGAGAGAGGGAAAGAGGAGGAGGAGGAGGAGGAGGAGCAGGAACAAGAGGAGGAGGGGCCAGACAGGCAGGAGGGGAAGGGAAGGAGAATGAGGGGGGGAGGAGGGTGAAGATGAAGGAGAATGATACTGATGATGATGATGATGATGATGATGATGATGATGATGATGATGATGATGATGATGATGATGACGAGGAGGAGGAGGAGGGGGAGGAGGAGGGAGGAGGAGGAGGAGGAAGGGGAGGAATAGGAGGAGGAGGAGGAGGTGGAGGAGGAGGAGGAGGATAACGAGGAGGAGGAGGGCAGCAGGAGGGATAGGAAGAGGGGGAGGAGAGGAGGGAGAGGAGAAGGAGGATGAGGAAGACATAGAATACGAAGAGGAAGAGGAGGACGGACGAGGAGTGGGGGATGAAAAACGTGAGAATTATGAAGAGTGGGAGGAGGACGAAGACGAGGAGCAGGAGGGGTAGGAAACTGAAAAGTATGTTTCAATCAAACAGTTGTCTGGAAGAGGCGGTTGAAACATATGACAAGGAAAAAGATACCCGAGAGACAGAAAGGGGGGACGAAGAGTCGGAAGACCGCGGGGAGTGTGGTGGGGAATATCAGGAAAGGGAAGAGGAGGGGGATGATGAGGAAGCGGAACATGAGAAGGGGGCCAAGCGACAACAAATTCGTGCCGATAGCCGACTCGGGCCGTGGGGGGGGGACAGACTCTCCCTGGCAGTGAAATCACAGGCGGATCCATCAACATTTTAGCGGTAAAATATCAAACGGTACGCTTTTACACGTTAATTGGTTGCCGCTGCAGACTCTAACCAGAAGGTGGGGACCCTTCGGGGGCAGCTCCCGCTCAAAAGTTCATTACGTACGCGGACCCCGCTCGAGGTATCCTCACAATACGCTCAAACATGGGGCTCCCGCTTAAGCCCCCTCAATATTCAGGCGACAACATGTTAAACCAAACATGCTGTTTAAGTTTGCCGATGGCTAACTCGGACTGCATACTACATATGATCCTGGGCTCGGGGCGGCCCACGCCTGCCCCCACCCCTAAAGATGGGATGGGTCTCAGGCTCAGGGTTCCTCGGGCTCCCCCTGATGGGATGGGGGGGACGACCACGACGACGACAACGACGACGACAACGACGACGACAACGACGACGACAACGATCACGACCACGACGACCTCAGATCTCTGCCGGAGGTCGACCGCCTTGGCTCCCTGAAGCACCGCAACAGCACGCCACACCCAGAGGGAGACGCACATGCACACGCACACGCACACACACAGGCAGACGCGCACAAGCGCACACGCGCACGCATAGACGGACAGACGCACAGACGCACAGACGCACAGACGTACACACGCAGACACACAGACACACAGACACACAAACGCATAGACACACAGACACATGCGCATACACACATACACATAATGAACACAAGCATAGTGGGGACGGAACGAGGAGTGGAGGAAGAGGTAGGTCAGGGGAATGACAACTGGGTATCATACACAGAAACAGCAGGGATCATGGCATGGGATACTAGAGTAAGGATGGATGGAAGGCGCCGATTAGCGATAAGGGAAGGATCAGTCAGGACGGAGGAGGTGTGCAGGGAGAGGGATGCTGGAGGAATAAAGACGGATCAGAGAGGGAGGCGGGTGGAGGAGGCAGGAGGGAGAAGCCAGGATGGAGGGAGGATGGAGGAGTGTGACCTTGCGGGAGCGGCGGGGCGGCTGCGCTCGGCGGAGGTCCAAGAAGTTTCTGCCCTTCCTCTTCGCGGCCTCCTTGCGGTCCACGTTGCGATGATTCCCCTCCACTCTTCGATTAAGGGCGGGACAGGGAAGGGGGTGTGGCTAGGGAGCACGGGTGCTATGCGCCAAGAGCTTAGGGAGCACGTTTCACCAGCACTTCCCTTGGGAACGTTCGGCGGCGCGTTTGAATCAAGGGGGGGCCCCTCCCCGAACTTTCAGCGCCGTCGAACAGAACCGGAGCCCCCCACCCCCCCGAACGGAACCCCCCCACCTCTGGCGGCGGCGCAAGCGCCGGAGGCGGCGGCGGCGGCGGCGGCGGCGGCGCCCGCGCCCACGCCCGCGCCCGCGTCCACGCCCACGCCCACGCCCACGCCCACGCCCACGCCCACGCCCACGCCCACGCCCACGCCCATACCCACGCCCGCGCCCACGCCGGCGCCCGCGCCCACGCCCGCGCCCGCGCTCACGCCCACGCACACGCCCACGCCTTCGCCCAGGCCCACACCCACACCCCCGCCCAAGCCCACGCCCACGCCGACTCCCACACCCACGCCCACGCCCACACTCACACCCGCAGCCACACTGACACCCACGCCCATACCCACGCCTACGCCCATGTCCACGCCCACGCTCACACCCACGTCCACACCCACACCCACAACCACACCCACACACCCACATCCATAACACCACGACGCACGCACGCAACGCAACGCACGTACGCACGCATACCAACTAACTTGACTATGCACACAACACACATACACATGCACACACACACACATACACGTACACACAAACACACTTTTGGGGGGGCGTCGCGGCCCCGCGCGCTGCGTCGAGGCGTAGAACCCGCACACACACACACATACAACGACATACACACACCCACACCCACAGCACCACGACGCACGCACGCAACAACGCAAGCCCGCACTCACGCACACCTATCAACACACATACACACGTACACACAAACACGAACACGCCGACGCCCACACCCACGACCGCGCACGCGCCCACCCCGACACCCACCCCCGCACCCACACCAGCACGCACACCCACACCCACACCCACACCCGCACCCACACAAACACACACACAAACCCGCATCCACACCCACACTCACATCGACACCGACGTCCACCCCGACGTCCACGTCCACGCCCACGCTCACGCCCACTCCCGCGCCCGCGCCCACGCCCACGCCCGCGCCCACCCCCACCCCCACACCCACGCCCACGCCCACTCCCACTCCCACGCCCGCGCCTCGGCGAACGCCCACGCCCATGCCCATGCCCGAGCAGACGCCCACGTCCGCGCCCACGCCCGCGCCCGCGCCTGCGGCTGCGCCCACGCCCACGCCCACGTTCACGCCTATGGCGCCACGCCCGCGCCCACGCCCACGCCCACCCACGGCCCCACCCACACCTACGCCCACGCCCACACCTTCACCAACACTTGCAGCCTCACCCACACCCAAGCCCACGCCCATGCCCACACCCACGCTCACGCGCACCCCCGCGCCCACACCCGCGCACACGCCCACGATCACACCCACGCCCATGCCCACGCCCACGCCCGCGCCCACGCTCACACCCACCCCCCACACCCACACGTACGACCGCCCCCACGCCCACGCTAACGATCATGCCCTCACGCACCCCTCCCCGCCTGCTCAGCGCCCTCGTCCCCCGCACCCCCCCGCACCCGCGCGCCCCCCGCCAGCGCTCTGGAGGGGGGAGGCTCGGCTTGGCTTGACAACGACTCTAGCAGGCCACGTGGACCAAGGCAGGCACGAGCGTAGCCCTCTTTATTTCAACCCAACACATGAGACTACAAATGACATGCATGGAATGTAGCTCTTATCTTCCCGGAAGATATATCAGGATAACGTACAGAGAACAAGACGAATAAGCAATCCAAGCAAGATAATCGCGACAACCAAAGTCATCAAATGTGTAAGCATACGAATCATTGTGAGATGAGTGAGCATGCCAATGCAAAGGGGGAGGCGCCGCCTCATTCAGAGGCCCGCCCTCACTCCACTCCATTCACGCCGCCCTCGCGGAATGCTAGAGGCAGGGGGCCGGGGGAGGGGAGGGAAGCGTACGGACGGCGCAACCCACGCCTGCGCGCACGCGCCCAAACCCACACTCACGCCCACGCCCGCCGACGCTAGCGCCCGCACCCACACCCACGCCCACGCCACGCGCCCGCGCCCACGCCCACACCCACACCCACGCCCACGCCCACGCGCACGCCCAAGCCCGCGCCCACACCCATGCCCACGCCCACGCCTGCGCCAACACCCGCGACCGCGCCTGCCCCACGCCCGCGACCGCGCCTGCGCCGGCGCCGGCGCCGGCGCCCACGCCCACGCCCCCTCGCCCACGCACACGCCCGCGCCCGCACCCAAGCCTACACCCACGCCCACACCCACAACCAGAACCAGATCATCAACACCCACGCCCACACCCACACCAATACCCACACTCACGCCCACGCCTAGGCCCACCCCCACGCGTACGCCCACACCCACGCCCACCCACACCCACAACCACACCCACACCCACGCCCGCGCCCACGTTCACGCTCACGCCCACGCCCACGCTCGCATCCACACCCACGCCCACACCCACACCCACACCCACACCCACGCCCACGCCCATGCCCACGCCCAAGCCCACGCCCACACCGAAAGCCACACTCAAACTCACGCGCACACCTAAACCTTGATCCACACCCACACCCGCGCCCACGCCCACGCCCACGCCCCACGTCCACGCCCGCGCCCACGCCCATGCCCACGCCAGCACCCACGCCCACGCCCACGCCCACGGTCACAATCACGAGCATGCGCACGCGCACGCGGACGCCCACCACACCAGCGCCCACGAACACGTCCACGTCCACGCCCACGCCCATGCCCATGCCCACACTCAAACTCACACCCACACCTACACCTTGACCCACACCCACGCCCGCGACCACGCCCACGCCCACGCCCGCGTCCACGCCCACCTCCGCGCCCAAGCCCAAGTCCACGCCCACGCCCGCGCCCGCGCCCACGATCACGCCCAACCCAACACCAATACCCACGCCCACTCCCGCGCCCACGCCAACGCTCACGCCCACGCCCACGCCCACACCCACACCTTCACCTCACGCCCATACCAACACCCAAGCCCATGCCGACGTCCACTCCCACACCCACTCCTGCATCCACACCCACACCCACACCCCACCCCATACCCACACCCACCCCACACCCACACCTACGACCGCGCCCACGCAAACGATCGCACACTCCCACAACCCTCCCCGCCTGCTCAGCGCACTCCTCCCCCCCCGCCCCCCCGCCGCCCCCACGCGCCCCCCCGCCAGCGCTCTGGAGGGGGGAGGCACCGCCCCATTCAGGTGCCAGCCCTCCCTCCGCTCCATCCACTCCGCCCTCGCGGAGCGCCGAAGGCACGGGGGGGGTGGAAGCGCGCGGACGGCGCAACCCCCGCGGGCGCCACGCTCACGCCCACGCCCACGTCCACGCTCGCGCCCACACCCACACCCAAACCCACACCGATACCCACGCCCACGCCCGCGCCCCCGCCGAAGCCCACGCCCCCGCCGACGCCCACGCCCAAGCCCACGCCCACGCCAACGCCCAAGCCCACGCCCACGCCCACGCTCACGACTGCGCTCACGCCCACGACCGCGCTCACGACCGCGCCCGCGCCCACGCCCACGTCCCCACGCATACGCCCACGCCAGCAACCACGCCCACGCCCACGCCCACACCCACACCCACACCCACGTCCACGCCCTCGCCCCCGAGCGCGCCCACACCCACGCCCACGCCCACACCCACGCCCACCCCGAAACCCGCACCCACACCTACACACCCACACATCCACATCCACACCCGCGCCTGCGCCTGCGCCTGCGCCTGCGCGCGCCCACACCCACGCCCACGCTCACGCCCACACCCACACCCACGCCCACGCCCACGCCCACGCCCACGCCCCGTCCTCGTCGCCACTCCCCGCCGCCGCCGGCAGCCGGCGCCGGCGCCGGCGCTAGCCGGGGGGGCCCGCCCACTTCCGACCCTCCCCCCAAGCGCCTACAGAACGCGCTCTCTCCAAAATCTCGACCCAGTATCACTCGTCGACTAGATACGACGGTGATGACCCATTATTTACCACAGCATGTGCCTAGAGCGAACTGGCGATGAATGAACCGGAGGAAAACGGAAGAGTAGGCGCACAAACAGGAGACAGGAGAGTCCTCCAACAAGTAGATAGACGCCAAGACGTCTCCAGTAGCCCCGCGCAAAGAAAACGATATCTTGGAGACGTCTCGCTTTCCGAATACAGGAGCAGGAGTCAGGGAAGGCCCAAACAAATCCATTCACTGGCGGTGCCGGGAGGGAAGAAGGTGTCCTGGCGCGACGGTGCCAATTACTGCTGTGGTTCAGACACGGCAGAATCCCACCAGCCCTTTGGGCGTGAGTGGTGTAGAGAGCCCGCTCTGTCCTCAACCCCCCTTCTTCCCCTTCGGGGAGGGGTTTACCCCTCCCCCTACCCCCTCCCCCTGGACCTGGAGAGGGAGTCCGGGGTGGTGTCGGGGGGGTCCATTTCGACTCCTGGGAGGGCCAAAAAACGACGACCTTCACGAGGATTCTGGCCCCGACGGGGGGAGGGAGTTTGGCCCCTCTGCTCTTCTTTGAAGCCAAGATCATTGATTTTACTACGGTTTTGGCCCCACTTTGGCGTCCTGAGGGGGTCGCGCTCATCTTCCCTCATAGCAAAATCATTGATTTTACGAAGGTTTTGGGCTCATTTTGTCCTTTTCAGGGCGCAGCTCTCCTTTGCGCTTCTGAGGAGGTCGCAAGAGGCCCCAAGATGGCCCCAAGAGGCTCCCAGGAGGCTCCCAAGAGGCCTCCAAGAGACCCCCCAGAGGCCCCCAAGCGGCCCCAAGAGGCCTCCAAGAGGCCCCCAAGAGGCCCCCAATAGGCCTCAAGAGGCCCCAAGAGGCCCCCAAGAGGCTCCCCAGAGGCCCCCAAGA